CAGGCATTCTGGTTGTCAGAGTATGCATTGAGAAATCTAATGGGCCTGCCTTTATATGTTATTTAATCTTTTTTCCTTGAAGCTTTTAATATTCTTTCTTTGTTCTGTACATTTAGTGTTTTGATAATTATGTATTGTGGGGAATTTCTTTTGTGGTCCTGTTATTTTGGTGTTCTGAATACTTCTTTTACCTTGACAGGCAATCCTTTCTTTATACTAGGGAAATCTTCTTTGATACTGTTAAAAATACTTTCCATGCCTTTGAATTGGGTTTCTTCTACCTCCTCTGTCATCATTATTCATAGATTTGGTTCTTTCATAGTGTCCCAGATTTCCTGGATGTTTTGTGTCTGGATTATTTTTTTAGGTTTAACATTTTTTTGTCAGAGCTATCCATTTATTTTACCTTGCCTTCACTACCTTGGATTCTTTCTTCTATGTCTTGTAATCTGTTGGTGAGGCTTATCCCTGATGTTGATATCCTATAATTTTCATTTCTAGTTTTATTTCAGTTTGAGTTTTCTTTAATGATTCTATTTCTCTGTTTTACTTTCCTTATGTCATTCAACTCTTTGCGTTTTCACCCACTTCACTGGGGTGAAATTCACTGGGGAATTTATTCACATCCTCTTTGAGGCCCTTGAGTATATTCATAATTGCTATCTTGAAGTCCTTGTCTTGTGCTTCAGCAATATTGCATTTCTCAGGTCTATTGTAATAGTGTCAAAGACTTCTGGAGAAGGCTTTTGTCTTGGCTGTTCATGTTTGTGGTTTTGCACTGGGATCTTTGCATCTGGAGTTATGATGTTTATGTTTGCATCTGGAGTTATTTCTTGATGTCTATATCTGGTCTTGTTGTTGGGCGGGTATTCCATTCTTTAGTTGTTGCTGCCATTTCTGGATCCTAGAAAAATGTGGTGGCTGTGGAGTCCTTGGAAGAGAGTGCTTCTGTGACAGGCTGGTGGATGACAGAAAGGAATAGGGATGGGCTAGAAAAGAAGGCTGTGAGGGTTGATGGGCAAGAGTTAAGATGGGTCCCTAGATTTACTTCTAGTGTATGTGTATCTGTGTATGTTTGGGCATGTACCCATCAGTGCAGTAATTTGTCTGTGTGTGGGTATGTTCTTGTGTGTTTGTGTGTGGGGGGTGTTATTCCTGGTGTAGGTGCCCTCACAGGCTGGAGGATGGCCATTGGATCCCCTGGAACTGGAGTTATAGACAGTTGTGAGCTTCCTAATGTGAGCGCCAGTAGCAGAATCAAGGTTTTCTGCAAGAGCAGTATGCACTCCTAACCACTGAGAGATCTACCTCTCGAGTTCTGCACTAAACTTGTAAATGTTCAAGTTTTACAAAACTAAGCTTTAATTTAGACTAATTTGACTCTCTGTAAAGAGATGCCATGACCAAGGTAACTTACAGAAGAAAGCATTTAATTGGTGATTGCTTACAGTTTCAGAGGATGAGTTCATGATCATCATGGTGGGGAGCATGGCAGTGGGCAAGCAGACATGGTGGTGAAAGCAGTAGCTGAGAGCTTATACTTGATCCACAAACAGGAGTCACAAAGAGAAGGGGAGGAAGGGGAGGGGAGAAGAAGAGAAGAGAAGGGAAGAGAGGGAGGACCTGGTGTGGGCTTTTAAAACCTCAAAGCTCACCCCTGTGACATATCTCCTCCAACTAGCCATACCTACTAATCCTTCCCAAAACAATTCCACCAACTGGAACCAAGCATTCAAACATGTAAGCCTATGGAAGGCAATCTCATTCAAACCATTACATTCCACTCTTTAAACTTGCAACCATATCATAATACAAAATGAATTCAGTCCAACTTCCAAAACCCCCAAAGTCTATAACAGCCTTAAGACTATTTAAAAGTCCAAAGTCCCTTCTGAGACTCAAGGTGCTTGAAAGACTCAGGCTTTAATGCTGATCAGCTCTACCTCTTTAAGAGACAGACCCCACCCCCTGACAACAGTCAGGGCGCACAGGAAAAGTGCTACATCATCACCACATCACCTGCCATGTGTGAGGACTCTAGACATGCATGGAACCTCAGTGCACATGTGCAGTCTTCCCTTTAAAAGTTCCAACTTCCCTGCTGCTCGCTCTCTTTACTCTTTACTCTCTACTCTCTACTCTCTCTCTGCTTATGCTTTGCTCTCTCTTCTCCTACCTACATGCTCTCTCTTCCTCTCTATGGTGACCGGCCATGGCGGTCGGCCATTACCCGTTCCTCTTCTCAGTCTCCTTACTCTGCCGGGCCCATATAATAAACTAGTCAATAAGTCTCATCATCTGCCTCTTTTCCTCATTTTCTTCAAAAAACATAACAGTACTCTTATAAAATCAAACTATCCCCTTATAAAAATCAAAAAGCAAATTACATACTTACAACATACAATGACACAAAATATGCATTATCATTCCAAAAGAAAAGAAAGGGGGCATAGGGAGGAAATACTGGACCAAAGCAAGACTGAAACCCAGCAGGGCAAACTCCAAATCTTGTACTTCTATGTTGAATGTCAAAGGAATTAGATGGCTCTCTGGATCTCCCACACATTCCAGCTTTGTTGAAACAAATTTCTCTCTCCTGGGCTTATTCTACTCCAAGTTTGCAGTTCTCCTCAACAGACGCCTCGTGGCTCTGTCATCTTCAATATTTTGGAGTCTCCAACCCAATCCTGAAGGAACCAGCTTCCTTTTGGCAGCCATAACTGCCGAACATGTGCTTGCCATAAACCTACCTTGGTCACGTAGAGGTTAGATGCCTGTCTCGTGACAAGGAACCCATCAGAAGTTAGTCTCTAGGAAGTCATTTGTGTGTCTGGTGACAAGGAGCCAATCGGAAGTTAGCTGGTGGCGCTATGCTTTACGACCCTGGGTGTGCTTTACGGACAAGCGCACGACAATGACGTAGAGAGCACAGCAACCACCCTGGGAGGGCCTATGGGCCATAACAACCAGTTGACCAATCAACACAGGGCAAGCACTCCAAGCCTGGAGGGACACCAATCGTGAGCCTGTGCGTACCCCTAGACACTCCCCTTACGCTGCCCTATAAGATCTTTTGGGAGACCCTAGGAGCCGTCTTTTGTAGCCGTCCGCCATGGCGGGTGGGTGAAAGACCCGAGCTAACATGGGGTTAGCTCGTTAAATTACAATAAAGCCTCATGCAGTTTGCATCAAGCTTTCGCCTCCATTCTGTGTTTGGGGTGGCCGCCGTCCTGGGCTAAGATTCTGGAAGCCTCAGCTTTCTGAGGGTCTAACAATCCTAGCTTCACTTTCACAGTCTCATGGGATGGCCACTAGGACCTCCATGCAGACTCCCCTTCCACAACACTTTGCCTCAGTGGCTTCCCTTAACCTGGAGGAAGATTTCACAACCCCTGTACTCCTATATCCTTCTTGACTCTAAAACCAGAACCATTGTTAAATGCTTGCTTGAGGTGGAACCTGGCCCCTTCCTTGAATTACACTGGCATAAAATTTGATCTGTTGATGCTTTCCTTTGTTGAATAAAATTTCTTTTGCTTTAGGAGAGGATTCCTTAGGCATTCCTTTTTGTAAGTTGGAAGCTTATCTGGGTGAGGTCTTGCCCTGAGGGCACCACTCCCTTTACTTCATTTCTTCTCGTTTCTTACAGCACAAACCAAGGTTCTAACATTAAATTTCCTGGTGTTCTTTTTCCCCTTAAACTTTCCAGTTTGTATTTCTTTTTACCCTGCTTGCTCTTTTTCATTGTATATCTGCATAAGATATACACGACACAGTCAATATTAGAATGTCTTGAAATCTCTTGTGACAATGGTTTAGCCCAAAACTCTTCAATTTAGCCTCTGCAGATTTTTCTGGACAAGGGTTGGGGAACAAAAGCCACGTTCTAAAGAATGGTTTCTACCCCAATTACTAATGTTGTTCCAAAACCTCTTAAGCTGTGCCTCCACAGTTCTCACCACTACTGTCCTCCAAATTCCTATTAAGATGGTTGTTAATCCCTATTTATACAATTCAACCTAATCCAAAGTCCATATTCTTCCAACAACCTACCTGATCAGGCCTGTCACAGCAATACACCACTCCCTGGTACCAAATTCTGTCTTACTTACTGTTCTATTGCTATAAGACAACCCATAACCAAGGCAACACTTATAACATTTAATTGGAGGCTTGCTTACAGTTTGAGAGGGTGAGTCCATGACCATTGTGGTGGGGAGCATGACTGTGGGCAGGCATAGTGCTGGAAGTAGTAGCTGAGAGCTTATCTGATCCATATGCAGGAGGCAGAGAGAGAGAGAGAGAGAGAGAGAGAGAGAGAGAGAGAGAGAGACAGAGACAGAGAGAAAGGGAGGGATGGAGGGAGGAAGAAAGGGAGGGAAAGTGTCTTGGCCTGACATGGGGCTTTTAAAACCTCAAATCCCATCCCCAGTAACACACCTCCTCCAACAAGGCCATACATCCAATCCTTCCCAAAACAGCCCCACCAGCTGGGAACCAAGCATTCAAATATATGAGCCTAAGGGGACCATTGTCCTTCAAGTCAGCAAAGACAGTATTTCAAGCCATCACTTACAGAAATATAAAATGTCTTACAAAATCTATGCCATAAGATAGTAGGGTGTGTTATACTATATGTGATTTTTTTTCCATTGAAATTAAAATTCTTTTGTGTGTATGTATGCACATGTTCATGTATGTAAATGCAGATACAGGTATATGTGTGGGTATATGTCTGTGGATGGTGCCCATGAAGATCATCTTAACAGGTGCAATAGATAATTCTGATGTAGGTGTTGTAAGGAGCATACTAAATAAAAGCACCACCCTTCAGCATTACTGCCTCCCTTAAATGCCTTCTGGAGGCAACTCCCTTAAATGGTACTTGACGGTAGCTCTAGATTTCAGTTCTGGTCAGTCTTATTGCCCATGGTAGGCTATATTGTCTTTGCTTCCTATGTAAATATGCTGTTTGTTTTCTTCTCACGGAAACCTTATAGGACAGACAAGGAACTGTTTTTATATTATATGAACCTCTGAAGAGATTCAAGTTGGGCATGTTGTAAGTATGATATGTAATAATAAGCTAAAAAATATTTAACACCAGCAAGATTGGTGCTTCTCTTGAGTTTTAATCAGCATGCTGATTTATTTTGTTTTATTTAGATCCTCTAGTGCTTCGCAAAGTACCTGTAGATGTTGATGTCAGGTTCCTTATAAATATAGTATCCCAATTATCAGGTAGGAGTCTATGCTTAAATAATCTCATACACATACAAGGCTCACATATTATTGATAGGGAGCCAGCTCAGATGATCCAATTGTGAAAAGCTAGTTGTCATTCTGGAATGCTTAGAAAAGTGCTCTGGTGACCTGGGCAGATGTTCTTCCAAAGTAGGGCTGGAGCCAGTTTGGTCTCCTCAGGGAATGTGGATTCTGAGCAGAGTCCTGATGTTAGAGCCACTCACCTCCACTGATGCTTTTTCATTCACAGAAGTGCTGTTTCTTCCCCTCTGGAGATAGAATGTGGCTACAGTTTAATCTAGTGCCATGATACCAGAAATGAGCCCGCTGTCTGTAACATCTACACAAACATGCATTCATTTCATCTATCCAGGTATTTGCATCCAGAATAACAGGGAGTAAGAAAGGAGCTCCTTCTGCTTCCCAGTGATATCCTATCCTTCAGCTCCCTCCTTGCTCTGATCTCCTAACCTAGATGTCTATACTCTACAGATGTGCTACTGTGGTGCTAGGGCAGTGGCAGGGCAAAAACAACAAGGCAACTACTGTGACTAGGCAAACAATGTAGCCAATCGGATTTGATGTTGGCAAGCTAATAAAAAAAAAAGTATTTTCCAGAGTAGGAGTCTAATTAGATGGGAAAGATGCAAGCTCCAAGTACATTTTAAAGCCCAGGAACTCGGGCAAATACATTTGTTAATTACAAGAACTAGAAATCAGAACACAGATATATGAACTCTTACTGTCCACCAGCTGGCATAAAAGGTGAACTACTAAGGACAAGTTGCCCTAGGGCTGCAACTAAATAAACCCACATGCACATGGGATGAGGTTGGGGGGGGGGCAGGTAGGGAAGCCAAATCCACTAGAATTCAGGTGGATAGGAGCAGGTCATCTGAGGCAACAAGCCCATACCATTAGCAAAATTTCAATCACAAAGAGTATACAGACAACCTGAAAGTCATGAAGGGGGAACCTAACTATAAGATCTTAAAAATGAGGCCACTTTGGGAGATGCAGATCAGTAGGGGACTGACATAAAGAAAGCTTGTCAGCAAGTGGCAGGGCCCAGGGACAGGAGCAGGATTTGTGTCCCAAAACTGACAGAGTGACATGGGGAAAGAATTAATGGAGCATAGGCAAAGCTCCTAGCATATGGGCCACAGGAAGACTTATGCGGTGGGTCACTAGGCTTAGAAGTACCAGGCAAGAGAAAATCCATTACAGAATTTAAGAGCCATAAGGGACTTCCACGAACAAGCTCCCAATCATCAAGATAACCTATCAACAAGGTAGATTTGATACTTATGCCCACAGAAAAAAATAATCAGACTGGTAGTTAAGTGGCATTCACCCAGCTGTCCCTACACCTTCACCTGAAAGTTCAGGCAGGAATGTTTTGACCTGTGTCCCAGCTTCAGCAGCAGAAATGGTCCTATCAGTTTACTTCTTAGGAAGTCATTGCTACTCACACAGTCTACAGAAAGGGTAGCATTGAAATGGACTTCAGAGTCTACTTACTGCCTTTTCTACTGTGTTGTATGCATCTTCATTTTCTCATCCCTCATGAGCTAAAGAATGTTAGAGCAGGGTAGGACCCTGGTGATTAAGCCACACTCATATTATAGGTAGGAAACACACTTAGAGAAGAGATGTGACTTGTCTGGGTCCCAGAGCAGGTCATCTATCCAGTGATCCTGATCCTACACTTTCATTCGCTAAAGTTACAATAAGTAGCAGCTTTACTGAGGAAACCCAGTTATGTAACAATCATCAGATTTTTGTGAGTTAGGGTACATCATTGTTTATGTTTGTATAGACTTGCTGATTCACTTTTTCTGAATATTAGAGAAGATTCCAGATGTCCTTGCAATTCTCACTGGTATCTAGCTGAATGAAGGGGTAGAATAACAGCTACACAAAAGAACTGTACTAAGCTAGGAACATAGGCAGTGGAAAATAGGTTATTTAGGAGGCAGTGTCCAGGAGATGGTCTCATTTTATACAATTTACACAGAAAAAGAAAAGGTGCTCCTTAATTTTCTCTAGTACTTTCAGGAGATGGCTCAGCATGTTTGGCTTTACTGAAATCATGTCATGCCAGGTGTGGTACACCAGCCAATCACCCCTTTAGGAAAAAAATGGGAGGCAGTTCAAGAGGGGAAGTCCCTACAGATCAGACATCTGTAGTATGACTTTTCTGGGATAATTTTTACCACAACTCCATTTATTCTGGGCTATTTCTGAAAGATACAGAATTGGAGAAATTCCAACGAAGGAAAATATGAAGAAAATTCTTAAAATGAATTAATAGAGAAGGCATCAAACCATTTGTACACACACAAATCTACACATGCACACATATACATACAAAATTTTAAGTGGATCTCTTTTTTTGTTTGTTTGTTTTTGTTTTTTGAGACAGGGTTTCTCTGTGTAGCTTTGGAGCCTATCCTGGCACTCGCTCTGGAAACTAGGCTGGCCTCAAACTCACAGAGATCCACCTGCCTCTGCCTCCCGCGTGCTGGAGAAATTCCAACGAAGGAAAATATGAAGAAAATTCTTAAAATGAATTAATAGAGAAGGCATCAAACCATTTGTACACACACAAATCTACACATGCACACATATACATACAAAATTTTAAGTGGATCTCTTTTTTTGTTTGTTTGTTTTTGTTTTTTGAGACAGGGTTTCTCTGTGTAGCTTTGGAGCCTATCCTGGCACTCGCTCTGGAAACTAGGCTGGCCTCAAACTCACAGAGATCCGCCTGCCTCTGCCTCCCGAGTGCTGGGATTAAAGTCATGGCCACCAACACCCGGCCATGGATCTCTATTTTTAATATATACATGAAAAATGCCCAAGGATCTTAGTGAAGACAGACATTCTCAGACACCCAAACCCAGATCTTCATTTTGTCCATCTTGGTCGATCCCTGGAACCTGTTGCTCTAAAAAACCAGGGTCTAACACTTAACTCTGATAATAAAACACAAATTACTTTTCAAAATTACTCAGCCTGGAGTTGATTTTTACTATTATTTATTTTCTTTTTTGTTTGCTTGTTTGTAGCCCTGACTGTCCTAGAAGTCACTTTATAACATGACCAGGCCATCCTGGAACTCACAGAGAGCCACCTGTCTCTGCCTCCGAAGTGCTGGAATTAAAGGCACACACCACTACCACCACCTTTTTATTTTTTTAAACGAAGAGATACTAATGGTTGTCCATAGAAGGGGTGGGCTTGTCCTTGGATTTGGGAAATGGAACTCAAAAAGCTCAGAATCACTAATTTAGTTCAAGTCATTTGTTGTAGAAAAAGGAAATGAAGGCTTAGAGACTTGCCACAAAGTTAGCCAGTGGCAAGGCAAAAACAAAAAAAACAAAAAAACAAAAAAAACAACAAACAAACAAAAAAATGAACTCCATTTTTAGAAACTAGGAAGCTTTGATTTCTGGGCTTGTTTTCAAGAGGTGACTGTGGAAGCCGTCCCAGTTTTGTCTTCATCCTTGCAGTTGACTTAAGGGACATCTCACTTGACTTAAGTGTTATCTCTCTTAAGAATACTTACTAAAAATTAATCCACTCATGCCAGACATCATGGCACATGTCTTTAAACCTAGCACATGGCAAGCAGATCTCTGTGAGTTCTAGTCCAGCCAGGACTACATAATGTGTTCCTATCTAAAATAATAACACCAACCCATACACCACCAACCTTTTTTTGCTTTTTCCTTTGATATGGTTTTAAAAAAATGGCTACAAAGTTCTCTTGATTTTCTCTAATGAAACAATAATCTACTCATTTGACCTGTTCTCTGGCCATGGTATAATGGTATAGAGTAACAGTAGCTGTTCATGATTGGAGACGTGTCTTTGAACATGAGTTATTCATAAGTAGCAGAAATTACTTGTTCATATGAAATAGAAAATAAAACTCAGACAAGCCTCTAGAAACCAGAGATGCAAATGTCTCAACAGATATGAAAATTGTTAGATATGAATGACACTTTGCAATGATTCTTTTCAAAATCAGCACTGCTGTCCTAGTTTAGTAGTAGCCTTTTACAAGAAATGACTGAACCTATTGCTATATTCTGCTAAGTTGATTAATAAAAAATATTTATTACACAAATCCTTTCTGTTGACAAGTTAAAATGGAGTCTCATCTTTCATATCTCCCTGAAGATTGCCACCTTGTGAGATTGAAAATACTCATTAAATTCCATCACCAGCCGTACAAATGAGAGGGCGATTGTTTTTAAGCATGTGAGGAGAATCGCTGGTAAACTCATTTGTTTGGATATCATTAACAGAACAATCGGTGTGGATCTCCAGGGGGTCCTCATGACCTTTGCTCGCAATCTCTTCATCATCCATCAAGAAATATCAGCACCTAATATGCAAGGCGAGACCAATTTTAAGGTGAGGTGTTAATTAACTAACGATCCTGGTTAATTTCTATACAAGGGCTGAAAATACCTCATGCTGTATTGTAAACAAGTGCTAAACCATCTTTTTTTTAGTTCTTGTAAGCAGTACACATTTTACAATGAGCAGGGTCAATTTTGTAAGGTTCCCATTGAACGCGTTAGTTAAATTTAATAGTTTGAAACTTTTCCTTTGAAATATAGTAGACTTGCTTTAACTTGCTGCCATTTTGAAAGTCAGGCTCATAAAGACAACAGAGCTCTCTGATGTTGGAGGTGAAGCTGAAACGTCACAATGGAACCAAAATCAAGACTGTAACTAATTTATGATGTACCTATCTGTACTTCACATAATGCGTTGTCTGGCTAGTGGTTCTTGCAGGGCCTAGTTTCTAGAGCCAGATAAGCACTGAGAACCAAGAAGAACAGTGTTTGTTGAGAAGCAGAAGAAAAAAATCTGAGTACCTATGTGGGTCATCTACTCATTCCATTTCTCCAAAGTGAGGTGACCTTCACCACTTACCTTTTTAAACCTCCATATGGCCTCTAAAGATCCAGAGTCTCCACACTCTAGAATGCAGGAGACAGCTGCTGACAAGAGCTGCTGATATGGTCCTGATAAGCAAGTTTTTAATCTGACTCCTAGCATAGACCTTAGCAGTATCTGAATGGATCATGTAACTCTAAGAACTCAAATGGAAATCACATGTCATTTTTCTCTTAAATAGAAAGCTCAAGCTTCATATAAAATATTAGCCTTTTTCCTTTTTTACTCAAGTTAGGATTTAACACCTTTAATAACAATGTTTCAGCCTTCAAATGATTTGAGATCTAAGAGACTGACCATTGGTTTTTGCCCATCAAGACTGAGATGATTTGACAAAAATAAAGTAAAAATTATCTGAAGTGAACAAATTAGACTAAATCTGAATTTTTTGTGCTGCAATCCTAAAGTCTAAGGACAAATCCGCCCTTTCTAGCTGCAGATCACTAGTATCTCTCTCTCTCTCTCTCTCTCTCTCTCTCTCTCTCTCTCTCTCTCTCTCTTTTAAGAAATAAAGTAATAGTCAACATCAACTTGTACTTTAGAGTCAGTAATTTTGAAAAGTAATTTGTGTTTCATTACCAGAGTTCATGCTAGACTCTTGATTCTTCCTAGGAACAGATTACTGGGCTCTACCCAAATTAACAAAATCAGAATCTTTGGTTTGGGGTAGCAAGGCCCAAGAATGTGTGTCTCTCCACCTAAGGCTCACTTTATATCACTACTCAGTTATCAAGGGATCTGCAGTGGTTTGGATACAGTTTGAGCGTGTGTCCCAGTGGTTCCTGTGGTGGAAGCTTGATCTTCAGTTTCCCAGTGATAGGATATGAGAGGTGGTGGAATTTTTAAGAGATGGAGTTTGTCGGGAATTCATTGGAGGAAATCCCATTTGGATGAGACAGATGCAATTCTCTATATAGAATACTATTTAGTCCTTGCAAGAGAACAAGATTGGCTTCTCCCCACTTTCTGGGCTTCTTGACTCACCATGAGATCTCTTCCTATTGAGTAGAATTCCCATTATGGTGCCATCTGCTATGATGTGATGTAGCTAAGGGGTCAGAGGCTGTATTGGTACCCAATCTTGAACTTTCAGTCTCCAAAGTTGTGAGCTAAAGTATGTATAATAGGTTGAAATGGGGAAAACAGAAACAAACCCATATTTCATTATTTCTAAAAGGGTACTAAAACAATTCAGTGGAAGAAAAAATAGTGTTTTTAAATACAATGTGTTGGAACAAACAAGACTTACAAATTTTAAGGTTGGACTTCTCCAAAGTACCTTTTCAAAATAAGATGGATCAACAGCCACAATATAACAGTTAAAACTACTGGATGCTTAGGAGAAAACACAGATATAAGTTTGTGTTAGGTATAAGGCTGTGATGCATAAAGCAAAAGTGATCAAAGTAAAAACAAATTATTTGGGCTTTATCAAATGAGACATAGAATGTGGTAAAACATTTGCAAAGTATATATTTGAGAAAGCTATAGTATCAGGGTATATAAAAATATTCTTATAACACAACAATAGAAATGCAAATAACTCAGTTAAAATGTAAGCAAAGAATTTGAATAGATATGTCTTCAAAGTAGATATACAAATGGCCAATCTATGAATGTTAAATATCATTAAGTCATTAATGAAATACAAATCAAGATCATATCTAGCTAAAATGGCTATAATCAGAAAGAAAAGAAATAAACATTTGCCAAGGATTTGAGGAAAATGGGAACTGGAACCTTCACATATTGTTGTAAAAGTTTGATAATAACTTATTAAATTAAATATAAAATTACCATATGACCCAGTAATTCTATTCTTAGATATGTATACCAAATTATCAAAAACATATATTTGTACATTAAGGTTCATTGAAGAATGCTTCATAATAACTAAAAAGTATAAACAACCCAAATGTATGTCAGTGAGAAAATAGTGAATTCCATTTTAGGAAATGGATAATATTCACATAATGGAATACTATGGAATATTGTTCAGCCATAAAAGAAGTGATGTGTTGACAGTGTGTACTACAACATGGACGAATGTTGAAAACATTGTGTTAAGTGAAATAAACCAGTCATAAAAAGATAATTGCTGTATGATTCCATTATATGAAGTAAGCAAAGCAAGCCAACCCATAGACAGGAGATGAGTAAGTGGTTGCCAGGGGATGAGTAAGTTGCCAGATGAGTAAGCGGTTGGGAAAAAAGGGAAGAAAGGGAGAACAAGGACTAATGGGTAGAAGGTCACTGTTTAGGATAACGAAGATGCTATGAAATCACACAGTATGTTTGCCTACTGGATTCTATACTATAAAGAGATGTTCCGCATAGTAGGTAGACAATTCCTTAATATACATAAAGGAAAATAGGAAGCCATCAGCTTTGATCCCAGAAAACAACGAAAATAGTCTTTCAGCCTACTAGCCCTACTTTTAAAGTATCTTAGACTGCTACTTCACAAATTGTTTTTTTCTGACCTATCATGGCAGCCTGCTAGCCCTCTTTTTAAAGTGTCTTAGGTTGCTACTTCTCAAGTTGTTTTATCTGACCTATCATAGATGAATGCTTTTTATTGGTACACTAAGTTGACTAGAAAAATGAAATTTAAAAAAACTAAGGATGTACAAAATATAAACCTAATGTTTTCATCGTTAGACTTAAAAAACATAAAAATTCTAGGATATAAAATTTTTGAGTTTTAGCTCTTTTTTGTGTTTTGTTTGTCAAGATAGGGTTTTTCTGTGTAGCCATGGATGTCCTGGAACTCACGCTGTAGACCAAGATGGCCTTGAACTCACAGGGATCCACTTGCCTGTGTTTCCTGAGTGCTAGGATTATAGGCATGTGCCATCACCACCTGGCTTCTAGCTCATTTTTTAAAAACACACATCAGCAAATCTAAAAACCAGTAATATGTGTATGGGTGCCAGTGAGTGGAACACATTTTGAGCAAAACTGATCTAAACCACACTTAATTCCAAAAAGGGATAAATACTTGAGGGGTAGATGTTATAAGAAATCTGTAAAGTAATAAATACTGTTTTTACTGTTATTCACAGGCTACCATTAATGATATCGAAACCATTTTAGGAGTAACAGAAGAAAATAAAATGAGATTTGAAGGTGAAAAAGATACCAAAGACAAGGAGGATCACCTGTATAAGCCTGTTGAGACACACTCAGATACATCATGACTGGATCCCTGTCTAGAGAAAGAACAATGTTTCCTTTGCTATTAGTATAAAAGTGGGGAAGTTAGTTTGCTGTTTGCCAAGAGGTCAATCAGAACAAATTGTAATGTAATAGTTCTTAAAATCCTGTTTATTATGTAATGTTATTTTACTCATTAAACAAACTTACTGGTGTTTTCACTTGTGAGTGGTAAGTAATCCCTTTCTCCTCCCAAAGTAACCAACCGTGGCCTCAGAAGAGAAGAAAACCAGAAGGAAGCCTTCACCTCACTCCTACGTCTACTCCATGATTTCAGTACTATGACATCTAGTTTTCTTATTCAAGAGTCACTTAGCTTCTGCCTTTAAAAGAATGAATAAATCTTAATTATTACTATTTGTCTAAACATAAACATCTTTTTCTCCCCCACAATTAAATCAGTTTTAAGTGATTATCATTCACTGTTTACTCTGTGCCTTCAAGCACTTATTGTTTGTTCTTGATTTCACAGAGTAAGAAAAGCAGACATGAAGTTAACCAAAGCATCAGAATGTGTCTAGGTGGCAGTATCTGCTCTTGGTTTAAGACAGTGTAACTGGAGCCCCTAGCTTGAATGAAAATCCCTGCTGCAAGTTTTCTGTATGACACAACAGTATGATTTTTGCAAGCTGAATGCAACTGTACCTTTTAAAGGGCAAATGGCTGAAGTTAAGCATGCATAAACCCTCAGTACTTGCTTCATAAATTGTATAAAAGCATTTCTACATTTGCCAGCTTTATTGAAGGGTAATATAAGCAAGGTGCAACACCAAAACCACAGTTTTAAAGAACAACTTTTACATCTATAAAAACACACACACTTGGGAAATATTTTTTACCTGTGGAATTACAGTCATTTTAAAACTGCTTCAGCCACAGGCTAAGAGTTTCTGCAATAAAATTAACATTTCCCTCTATGTGTGGGCGGCTTTTGTTTAGCCATCGGAGGAAATACATTAATTAGCCAGGTTTCCTGTCTGTGCTAGGTACAGTGATGACCTCTTTTTCTTGCCAGATCTCTCTAATCCATACGAGGGGCCTATTGTCCAGACACTTGACGGATAGGAAGTGCTGCATGCCTATTAGAGTGGCTCTTACATTGAAGCCAGAGCAACATAAGGTCCAGGAGACTCATTAGTTCACTGGCACAGTCATGTCCTGAGAGTAAATGAAACCCTCTGTCTCCTTATGGCTCTCATCTGCTCTGGACTTTAAAAGAAAACTGTCTCCGTTTTGTTCAGCACAGCAGTGGATCATTCACATGGTAAAGCCCTCCTCACAAAACCATTAAAGCCATCGGGAAGTTCCACGTGTGGACTGTGATTAGCACTCCTGAGCCTGGAGCTGCTGGCAGCAGTAAAGGAGCTTGCTCTCCTAAAACTTTTTTTTTTTTTTTTAAACCACATGATTGGTTTCTCAAACAATGCCATTTGCCTCCTTTGCATCATTATTTTGTAACACAAAACACTTGATTCCAAATTCAGGCCTTCTCTCCAGATTCAGGCCCATCCTAAGTAATAGGAAGAAGGCTCTCTGCCCAAACACCTAGAGCTTCAAAATGAAAGGCAAAATATCTGTAGACTAACACAATCACATCAAGTAATTAAGTGGAAGAAGCCAGAGGACCAGATTAAATTAGTGAAATGTTTTAATTACAGAACATTTGCAAAGAAGCACAGTCCATTATCTTTCAGCATATATATGTTACAAAGATACTATGTAGCTAGCAAACTAAATTTAGTTTGAAAACATGCTTATTGTGTACAATGTCTAAAGCATCCCCAACAGTCAAGTGACGATGAATTGCTGAATTTTTACTGACCTGTATTAGTAAAAATTAGGAAATGACAAGAGAGCTAATTCTGTATGAGATGTGACCTACTGTCTACTAATGAAGAGCTGCAGTGGAAAAGTGCACTCACTACTTAGGAAAGCATTATTGGTGAGTGTCTTTAATATACTGCTCATTTCATATTAACTCTAAAGAAACCAATAGGTCATGCAACCTTGCTGTCCACTGACATACCTTCTGCCCACTAGCTATTTACACTTGCCACTCACTGAACATTTAGTAGGGCTAGGCACATGCTGGACCAGTAGCTCTGTAATTCTGTTGCATCTTCCCAGTAAACCCATTCAAGTAGTTATTACTACTGTCCTCATCTTAGATATGAAAAAAAATCAAGACTTAATAAGAGTCCTTCACCCCATGCTTTAGATTAAATGAAAATAAATTTGAGATCTGCTCCTTTTGGCCATGATTTTAACATTTTGCATAAAGTGAGAAATTTAATTTCACTTGCTCCAGGTCACACAACATGTTTGCTTTCTTTAATAACAATTCTAGTGTGTTGCCTAAAATATAGGAAAACAAGTTAAACACATCTCCTGATAATAAAATCAACTTGCTAGGGCAGTCCTGGGGAAGGTTGGAGCAAGGGCATGGGGAGTATATATGAACAAGATACATTATTTCCATGTATAAAATTTTCAAATGATAAATACAAATTTTTAATTTAAGTATTTATTTTGAGACAGGATCTCACTATGTAGCTATGTATCCCTGGCTGGCCTAAAACTCACTGTGTAGACTAGGCTGGTCTCAAATTCACAGAGATCTGCCTCAGTCTCCCAAGTGCTGGGATTGAAGGCATACACCACCAGGGCAAACAAATTTTATTTTTAAATAAAATCACTTTATTCTAATTAACTCACAAATAAAAATATCATATAGTACATTAAGGAAACCACTCCAGTACTTGCCCAGTCCCATGTTCTACATCTCAGTGAATTTCTTTACAGTGAGAATGGCTACTCTAAAGCAATGGGGCTTTGAATGGAGCTCTGTGGTGGTTTGAATAAGAATGTGTATGTTTAGTTACTGTGGAGTGGTACTATTTGAAAGGATTAGGAGGTATGGCCTTGTTGTGTTATTGAGGGTGAGTTTTGACTTTTCAAAAGCCCTTGCCAAGGCCAGAGTGACTGTCTTCTGTCTGCCTGTGGCTCAGGATATAGTTCTCAGCTACTGTTCCAGCATCTCCTTGTATGCTGCCATGCTTCCTGTCATGCTCATAATGGACTAAACCTCTGAAACTGTAATCAAGCCCCAATTAAATGTTTTGTTTATAAGAGTTTCAGTGGCCATGGTGTCTCTTCTCAGCAACAGAACACTATCAATTATATTTCATCCTCTCAACTTCATAATCCTCCCCCTTTGAAAGTAGGAAGTTTGTCTTTGTGGGGAAAATTCTAATACACTTTTAACTTTCTTTTCCTACATTTCAATGAATATATAGCAAAAAGTCTACTTGTGAGCTGGCAGCATCACAAGACATCACAGTTAAGTGATCAAATAATTAAGGGGAAAAGAAAATGCTATCAGTTGAATTCTCCTGAGGTATGAGATTTGTGAGACTTTGGAAGGCAAATGACACCAGGAAGGTGCTGAAGTTTTGAAATAGGGAAGTCACATTGTGTAGTTTTGAGAAATTAGTATGAGGTCAAGAAGTGGGACTTCTGACAAGATGGAGAACAGCTAGGTAAGGGGATCATTTCATTTGAAACAGCCTCAGAACTATAAACACCCTGTTTTTCACGTGTGAAAATACACTTTCTATCATGAGTAATTTATTAGTAACCATCTGATAGTTTTAACAATTAATAACCATTTGTATTCATCTGGCACCTTTCTTCTAAAGAGCTCAAAGCCCTTTGCATTTGTTATCTCATTAAGTCCCCACATTGTCCCTGTGGGGAAAGTAATAAGTATCTTAATACTTAAATGTTTATCTTTCAAAATTTCTCAAGCATACATTAATTATATTTTCAAAACTATAAATGTTCATTAGTTTTATTTTACTGTTCCTCTAGCTTTAATGTGCAGAGCTCATTTGTTCAATTCCTCAAATGCACTAATCATAGTCTTATTTGGAAAAGGAAGATGGCAAGATCATGTGAGGGTGGAAGACAGGAAGGAAGGAAACACTTGCTCTTGCTGCTATTTTCCCTTCCAAGTACTCACTATGCTAGACCCTGCTTAGATTCCAAGATCAGACAAGACTTGTATTTTCAGGATGGTATGGCCATAGCCTGCCTTTGCTTTTCTCACTGTAAAATGTTTGGTTCAATCCACTGCAAGTGCAAATGGAGTATGCTGTGGGTTTTTGTTATATAGTTTCAGTGTGCCCCCAAAGACGTGGGATTTAGTCTCCAGTAGTGAGAGTTGGAAGATCAGGATCTGATGAAAGAAAGTTAAGTCATAGGCACCACCCTTGGAAGACGTTAATGTAGTTCTCCAAGGATGGAGTTAATTTTTCCACAAGAGCCAGTTGTAAAACAAGGCTACCACACATGCTTGAATTTTGTAGACAGCTCTTGGTTTCCCTTTCCCGTTCTGTCATACAACCAAGGGGTCCCTAGTTGGCACTATGTTGTTTGGAATTTCTAGCCATCAGATGATGAACCAAAAAACCATCTCATTGTTATAAAGAACCAATCTTCAGGTATTTTGTTATAGAAGCACAGAATGGACTGAGACACCATTCCTGCCACAGCACATGCCACAGATTAGTCAGCACTGTATCTAAGAGCCTGAGTTTATAAAGTAAGCTATTATTTACATAATTGTTTGAAACCTGATGTGTTCTCATGGAGCTATTGGAGCTACATTCCAAAGACATACAGACTTAATAAGGACGAGGAACTTTTTGCTCCAGCCCTCCCTCTCTTTAATCTAGTCATATCTTCCACAATTTTCTATCTAGATAAATGGCAGATGATAATACCTGCTCTATAGGGAAGCCAGAGATTAAATAGCCAGTGTTGGGAGAGTATTTCAAAGATGAAACATTCTGCATAAATGTTTAAGCATTATTATTACATTGCTACTTCAAATGGAAGTTCTAACTTTGAAATGTGATTATACACTTTCCAGGAAAAAAAAAACTTCATAACTACATATATAGGTTTATTTTTCACTCTAACAATCTAACTCATGGTTGTGAAACTTTATTGCACTTGATGGAAGGCCTTGGCTTTTATTAGTTTTAAACTGCTGGTTTCTGGGGTATTTATGTAAATGAGGGAAAGACACCAAAACAGTAAATAACAAGCATGTCCCTGCTGTTTAAAAATCTGTTGGTAAAAACAACCTAAATATAGC